CATTCACTTTCAGCTCACTCTTTCTTCACTCCCACACGGGGGGCAGCAGAAGTGAGGTTCTGGTTGGGGTTTTGATTTTGAGAATAAAAGGAGAACCCTGTGAATGATTGATGACTGCTTATTCTCATTCTAATCGGATGAGCCCATGATGATGACTACTTAAACCCTGAGCCTTCCTTCCTTCATAACACCTTTATATCTGAACACATTCATGGTGTCAGAAATAAAGCATGTAATCATTGCAGAGCAACATTTACTACACAGCCATGTGCTTCAAGATGCACACAAACCAGACTGTGGGAAAGTGCAGTTACTGCTGAAAGACAGTTCATCGCTCATTCTTGAGCTCAGCTTGAACTTGAAATTTCAGATATGCGTTTATTTAATAACAGTAAGAAGCTTCCCAGTCTGAAAACTGGAACTATCCTGTGAATACAGCGAGCTCCAGGGTCGTGTTTCTCCTGCAGTGAGCGTGATCTCAACCTGAGCTTATTTAGACACTGATTCCTCTAAAGACATCAGCTCTGAGCGGTATTTGCAATAACAGCCTGAGGCATTCATGAGGCAGGGATTTTTATAGGATGTGTATTCAGTTATGGTCAGGTGACTGGAGTGTTTAGTGCAGAGACTGAACATATTCAAAAAACAAAACGGTGACAATTGCTCTGTTTCGTCACATGCGAAGTTCAGACTGACTCATTAAAAAATAGTTTGTTTTAAATTATGCATTTATGGTTGGAAGGGCAGATAGATGATCTGTTAAAGGACTGCACCTTTCTGTTCACATCCTCAAAGACACTGATACAACGTCATCTTAAATGTTTTGTTGTTCTTACTTTTAGGTTTGATTTGACTTCATTTAACCACAGTACAAAAATCAAATAAAAGTAAACTCAAGCAGGCTAAACACTGGTGTGAGTCTTTAATGGTCCCAAAGTACTAAAAGAAAATACAAAGAAAGAAGAAAAATAAGTGTTTATTTTGTGACTTATACCTCATATAAGGCTTTGTTTGATGAGGCTAAGACTGTTTAATGAATGACTGGTAAACTTTGAACAAGAAATCTGGTGCAAACTGCAGAGAGAAACTGTAACTTAGTTCAGTATAATTAATAGCCAGCTCCCACCCATTATTCACCCCCCCTGGAACCTGATACAGAAGACTCTCATTCACAGTTCAGTCCGTTCACCCCTGTTTGTGCCTCTTGTCAGTGCAGTCAAGAGCTGTTCTCCAAATGGATGTGTTTGCAGTTCCAGGCGACAGGCATAAAGGATGGTACCTTTCTTTAATGGCTCCAAACACAAAAGGTCCAGAGTTCGCCTGGCTGGACCCATCCAGACTTTACTGCAACTCCCAGGTATGCCGAGAGAAAAGAAATGTTGCTAAAACTATTCGCTGAGCATGACAAACCTCACCTCTAACTGCACAAATACACATGCAGTCTCTCTTATCATGTGCACATTCGTCATTTTATGCTTTTTTTCCCCTCTTTGCACTCGATCCAGGCTCTTGCAGACTGTGCCAAAGACCTTCTCAGTCCTTTCCAAAGTGACAACATTGACTTGGTTGCTGGCATGGATGCGATGGGATTCATTCTTGGTAAGAAAGCAAAGAACTTCACGTTTAGAGGTAAAATACAGGGCGAGTTCAGAGAAACTAAAGAGTAATTTTTTATTTTAAGACGTTGTCAGTGTGTACATTACGTAGGTCGGGAAACCTGACCCTTCAGGCAAAGATACTAAATTTAGAAAAACTCTGCCTCTAACACATGGCATGGCAATGTGAAGCTTCTTTTCTCGCTCTGTGGGTGTGAATGAATGTTACTGATGTTGTCTTTTCAGGGGCTTCTGTTGCCACCGCTCTTGGAAAAGGTTTCCTGGCTGTTCGCAAAGCAGGTCACCTATGTGTCCCCACCCAAGGCCAAAGCTACACAGACTACACAGGCAGGGAAAAGACTATGGAAGTAAGACTGGATGTGCTAAGACCAGGTTAATATTTCTTTTTACCCTTAAACCCTGTTATATAATTTACTGAGAAAGATGTTTGGGCAGTTTGTGGATGAGAAGGTTGATAAATGACTGATTTCAGCTCTTACATTTCTAAAAATATGACAAAATCATTTAATTATTTATTTTGTCAAAGCCCAGTCTTTCTTTCTCCAAACTCCCCTGTCTTTCTTCTAGCACAGCACCATCTGTTGTCAGCTGAAGCAACTGATATTGAACAAATACCAGCTGTCATAACAAAGATGAATGCAGAAAACTATAAAACTGGTGTAAAGGCCTTTGTCCAGAGAGACGTAGAAAAAGTGATCAGATGAGTTATCCTTCACAATATTCTCAACGACAGGGCGAACGTGTGTAACGAGCACGCAGAGAATAGCACAGGCCTGAATGTTTGTTTCATTGTAAATCAATGAAAATATGCCCTAAATCAGGGGTGTCCAACTCCAGGCCTCAAGGGCCGGTGTCCTGCAGGTTTTAGACCTCACCCTGGGTCAACACACCTGAATGAAATGATTAGTTCATTACCAGGCTTCTGGAGAACTTCAAGACATGCTGAAGAGGTAATTTTGCCATTTCAATCAGCAGTGTTGGATCATGGACACATCTCAAACCTGCAGGAGGCTTGGAGTTCTCCACCCCTACCCTAAATCATCGCATGATTAAACATTTCCTGACAGGAATGATGTCTGGCAGGATGACACAATGACAGATCATTGAACAGCTAAAAACGATGTGAGCCACATGCGATGGCCTTCACATATTACAGACGGAAGATTCTGGATAATGTGTCAGAATTCATCATAACACTGAATGAGGGAAAAGCTTCATTAAAACTGCCAAGAAACACTGAAGCTGTTCAAGTAGCTCAACACCTGACTAAGATGCTTTATTTCCTGTAGAGGAATGTCTTCTGAAGGTCCTGCCTGGGTCACTGCACCATCTCCTGGTGCAATCTGGTATTGCATAACATGCGTAGGCCAGTTTAGGACATGAAACCACAGATGTTGGTTCTTCAGAATCTGTTGACAGCCTGGATTCATTTTTGAACATCAATTTGCAATACGTACATTTAAAGAAGAATCAAGTCTCACAAATTCCTACAATTTCTACTTTCTACATCCTCTCCAGCACAAACACAGTCTGGTGTGACTGTGTATAAACAGGTGAATGGAGATCCACAACGTTAGGGAAATGAGTATTCTCTTAATCTGAGATTTGAAAACAAAATACTAGAAGCCCCTAGAACAACATTAATGGGAAACTTATGCATTAAAATATAACTGTTTATTGTCAGCATTTGTTTTTGTTTCTTTCAAAAACACAAGATGTACCATTTTCTTTTAATACTTGTCCTCGTAAACAAAAAGAGTTAAAGAAGAAAGACTGAAGGAGACATTAACAGTCGACATGTGTGTCCCCGCCGCAGGTTCGAGGGTGTTGTTAGTGGACCAGTGGATAGAGACTGGAGGCACAATGAAGGCTGCCATTCAGCTGGTAGAGAAACTGGGAGCCACAGTTGTAGGTTTGTCAGTCAATAAGTTAACAGTTACAGTGCTGTGCAAAAGTCTTGAATTACCCTTCTTTATATTTTGTTAGGAAAATGTAAAAAAAGATGCAAAAATTCATTGGAATGTGGAAATCAAGGATAAAAGGCAAAAACTGAGTTTCTTCTAAATCCTTAAAGTAGTCTTCAGGAATAGTTTTCTAGGGTTTTTGATGAACATTTAAGTTCTTCTGTGGATGGTGGCTGCATTTTGCTCTGTTCCCTGTCAATACGACCCCACATTATGGAAATAATCGACGATAACTGTGTTTTTCTAACTAGGTATGCTTTTACTGCGCTGTTTTGTCAACAAAAAAAAAGAAGAAAAATGAAGCCAGATCCGTCTTCCACAGGGCATTAGCCACTGATATTCAGTCCAATCCTTGTATAATTTGGCATTCTTCAGCCTTTTCACTCAATTTCCCATCCTCAAGAATAGTTTCTTCCACTGAGACCATTTCTGATGAGGCTTCAGTAAACAGGAGATGTATCTGAAGGGCCAGATGCATCTCAAGTCCTGCATCAGATCTTTGTTGGATTTGTTTGTTTCTTAAGGACATAGGACTTGAGGACACTTTCAGATACTGCTTATCTACTTTAAAATGTTTTTAAATCAACCACTTTTTCTTTTGTGCCCTACTTTTCCAGTTTGGTCAAAGACACACTTGTCCAAGATATGCTAACTTTTCAGCAAATAGCTCTTTGGCAATCACCGTGTTGGTGCAAAAGAAAAGCAGCCAAAGAAAAACTTTGAAAGATTTCCAGAAAAGCCTGGAGAACTACTGACTGGTTTAAAAACAGAGGTCGGTGCGCTTGGAAGCAAAACATAAAGAAGCAAGGGGTTGTTCAAGACTTTTGCAAAGTAATGTATTATATAATAACCGAATGACTCCCAACACTTGATTGTAAACATCTCACTCTGCAGGCGTCGCAGCTGTGGCTATCGAGAACACCGAAGGAGGAAGGTGGATTAAGGAAAACTACAAATTCTCTCACTGCATACCCGAAGAGCTGCAGAGCCAAATTGATGGAAAATACCTCGACTCCTTCAAAAGCTTCAACAACTGAACAAGTTAACGTGATTCCTTAAAGGTTCAGCAAAGAAGGCAAAGCACAGAAATTTTATAATAAATGTATAGATATATTTTTTAAGAAATACAGTGAGCTCACAGAATAGCTGGCTTTTTTTTTTGATTTATTCTATTTTAAATAACCGAAACAATTTCTATTCTATTGTTTAATGTCCTAACAACATGTAAAGCTCACCATGGGAAAATGAAAAATATGAAAACCACATTAGTTTTGATACTGACCATAAAAGTCTGTGATAAATTTGATTGTAAACAGAAAGAATATACCTTTCAAGTATCTTCATTACAAATATGGCTCCCAGTCTTTGGTCTGGGACCTCAGCGTGCGATGGATAAACGGAGAAGATGATGAACAAGATATAAAAACAAGAACAAATTTTCTTTTTAGCCTCTAACAAATATAACTGGTCACTTTAATGCAATGAAAAAAAAAGAAGAGCCAAAAAAACAAATTCAACACGAGCAGAATATGACTGTTAAAATAAACTACAGCAGCAACAAGATTTAAGATTGAATTGAAGCCCTAAGTGAAACGAGACTCTTTCTGGCAGGACGGGAACATTTTGTGTGTAATTCCTGTGTCACTCCACAAGAATCTGCACACACATCCCGTGGAGGAAAAAGCTTTCTAGGCCAGGAAAAACTGAAATTAAAACATGTCAGGAAGGGAAACATCTGAATCCCTCCTCCCTCCCCGACCACAGAAATCCTTCCCGCTGAGCTGGACGGCAGCCGTGGTCATTTTCCACTCAGAAAACTCCTCGCTTTCAGTCCGTACCATCGATTTTAACCTCCTGCTCCCATCCTTACTGACAGCAGTTGGACTGTTTCTTCTTCGATGCAGCGTACAGATTGTTAGAATTGCTGTTAATCCCTGAAAGCAAAGCTTAGTTTTAAAGCGTGCGACAACTACTTTTGTGATTTGGGATTGTCTGGATACTCACTGACAACATCTCCGATTTGCCTTGATCCGCTTTTCTCCAGCTCAGCAAGAACGTTGGTCTCAAACGCTAATGATGCAACCCGAAAGAAAAACTCTCTCACGTTTTCCCCTGCAGAAGATACAGAGAGCATCTGTCAGGGCCTGTGTGAAAACTACTGCTGGGGGACTTTATATTTAAACAGACTTAAGGAGAAGCACTGGAGGTCTATAAAGAAACTAAAGCTAGCTCAATAGGCTTTGGACAAGTAAATCTTTTTATTTTTTTCTGTAGTTTTGTCTCTGTGCATCGTAGGATTTAAATCAAACAATCAAAATGACAGTCAAATGCAGAGCTTTAGCTTTTATTTAGGTGGTTTTAAAAACTATGCATCAACTGTCCATGAATGACAGTGAACCTATACAAAGCTGCTGGTTTTCAGAGAATCAAAAGCTACCTGACAAACCAACATGACTTTGAATACAGGGATTGTTTTTCCTTTGCAGTCTATGACTGAAAGCATAGATCTCATTCTTCCAGGCTTTTACTGCCGCCCTCTGTTGGTGCTCGTTTCAGGGTCTCTGCCTTCAGATCAGGCGATGGACTCCTGGTACTGAAGGACATACCACTCAGAAACTCATGGTTTGCTTTTGCAGTATGCTTTGGCTCATTATCCAATTGCACTGAGGTGTTTGGGTGAATCTGAGCACAGAGTAAAGCCCTGTACACTTCAGAATTCATCCTGCAACTTCTATCAGCAGCCACGTCATCATACGTGCACATGCCGTAACACTGCCTCTGTATCTGATGGATGAAGTGGCACACTTCAAATCATGAGCTGTTTCTGTTTCTCCATACCTGTCTCTTATCATCATTCTGGTACAAGTTTATCTTGATTTCAGCTGTCTGAAGATTATTTTTCAGAGCTCTGCAGGCTGTTTTGGATGTTTTCTGGCAAAATCTAATCTGGACTTCTTGTTCTTGAGAGTAATCAGTGGGTTCCATCTTGAAATGAACCCACACTCCTCGAGTGTTCTTGACCTGGTTAGATGTTGTCAAGTTGTTTTTCATAAACAAGGACAAAGTTTGAAAGCATCTACTTTCGTTGTCTTCTGTGGATTTTCAGGCCTTCTAGTGATGCTGAGCTTTCCAGTGCATTCGACTTGGCCACTGCTAAAGCTTTTGTTCTCTCTGAATATTTTCTGGTAATAAACAGCAACAAACACATTTTTTTAATCTTTCTAGATTACAGTAGCTGTTATTCAAGCAGTGTAATACAGACTTAGGTGCAAATTTGGTAACTCTGGAACTGAACACTTTGCATTTACTACCAAAATATTTTCATGTAAACAATCGACTGCAGCGTCTTTCCCTGAGGAACAGTGTAAACAAAAACCAAAAGCTATTCTGGCTGAAGCTATAGAAATATTTTTCATCTCTAACACCTTTTGGAGGCAACCGCTTTACTTGTATTAAAATCCAAACGCTCACCTGTCAGCGATGAAACCGCCCAATACTCAGCTTGGATCTCGTTTGCTAGTTTGAGGGCATCTTGTTCAATCTGGGAATACTGAGCAGGTGACTGTGAGACAAACCAGAGCATACAACACATTAGCAATAAGAAAACAAACACAACTGTTTATTTTATTGTATCATGTTTACTGACTAACTCATAAAAACAATGTCTTCCTAGCAACCGAGCTAGCTTAAGTACGGCTGTTTAAATACATAATGTCTTAGAAACGTTCCTGTGTGTGATTTCCACCTCGGTCACAACCACTTTAGGGTGTAGTAAAGGAGGAGAAACATTCCTGAGGTTCGAGCTTGGATACGCTTTGTGCTCCTGGCACCTATCCAAGCATTCACATTTGACTCCAGTATATACAACAGAAATGTCCGCAGGCACGTCCACTTTAAACAGTAAAAGACGTACGCTGAGGTCCTTCTTGGTGCCCACGAGGAACAGCTGAACAGCGGTGGGGTCGTTCTCTTTCAAAGCGTCTTCGAGCCACTGCCTTTAGATGGAAAAAGACTGCATTAAATCCACCAGCTGGGACAACAATGAGATAAAGGCACACAAATGTTATTCTTATATTATATATTTACCTTACATGGCCCAGAGAGGCAATATCATTTACATCAAACACGATTATAACAACTGGAAGAGAAGAAGAGATCATTTTACTGCGTTAGCAGCTGGGAAAGCGACTGATATTTTATTCCTTGGAAACAGTGTTTTAAACAGAGAGACTGATGGAAACTTACCCTGGGCTCCTCTGTAGTATGTAGAAGCAATGCACTTGAACCTCTCTTGGCCTGCGGTGTCCCACCTTTAACACACAGAGAGCGGCTGACGAGCATAATCAGAGTGACTTTTTTTGTATTAATGCATTACATTTTCCGGATCAGACTTACAGCTGCAGGCTGAAAGGAACACCCAGCACCTCGAAGCGCTCCATCTCAAAGTCAACACCGATTGTTGCTTTGTAGTTCTTGTCAAAGGTATCCTTGCAAAACCTTAAAAAAATAAAATAAATAATCTATTGCAAATATATGCACTTATGGTCGGCAGCAGACTACATCATTTGGACAGGTGACCAACTCTGACAGGGGGGCATTCAAGAAAAAACACAGAAAATTGCTATGCTTATTTACACCCATACATGCACAGAGAAATTTAGCACAAAGTGCAAAAAGATCTGTGTTAGATTGCAGAGGCAAAGGAGCTTAGCAATTTTCAGTAGGTTCACGCTTCGAAACTAGCTGCACACGCTGATAAATGGCCTGTTTTTAGTTTCAAAGAGACATGAGGGGTCCTTTATAAAGTCTGACCAAAGTTGTGGGGGCACATTGAGTTTACTGGGTGGGCCTGGATCCCCAGGTCCCGATCATAAAACCGACACTGCCTGCATTTGTTAATAAAACAAAGTATCTAATGTATGATCATGGCAGACGCATAAAGGAACTTATTACAGAAAAATAAACTACAAGTGACAAAATGTGACACGGTTGTACTGCAATTTAAAACGTTACAGTCTCAAACTGTGTACTTCCATACATGTGGTAGATGTTGTACTGCATGCAGCGAGGCTCTCTAAGTGGTCCAAAACTTGTGTTTTCCTCATGCGCAGAAGTGACGGGACCACAAACCATCAAAGATTATCATCTTTCCTAACAAGCATTATTTTTGGTGTTGTGGTCACAAACACAGCCATTACAAAGCATAAGTACAGTAAAGCATATCAGGGCTGGAAATAGATGCCCCATTTTTATGTTTTCTACCTTTTTTTCATGCTTTTAACAACTGCTTCATACTTTTTTGATTACCGTGAAACCTAAAGCAATTGTAACACAGGTTAAGTATTGTGCTTCCTTGAACTCCCTCTGAGTTATTCATTTCCCCAAATTCCCTCTCGCCTTGCAGTCACATATGAAGCGAGTGTGTCTTAGTTTACCTATTAATCAGGCAGGTTTTCCCCACAGCCAGATCCCCCACCACGATGACCTTGGATATTTTAAATCTGCTGAGAAGAATAAGAGAAGCAGCAGCAAGTAAATAAGAGCCACATAAAGCAGATCGCATACAGCAGCTTCACACTGCGGCACTCACCCCACAGTGCCGGTCCGCTGCTCCTGACACGCAGTCTTTACTTTATTGTTGAAATCATTTTTAGTGTGGATGGCTGCCTCTTTTCGGAAACACTGAAGAGAGGAGGGCGGGATCGTGAAGATGTGAACTTTTCTAGAAAGATAAGCAGGCAACTGGGGTCACTGATTTTACCTGAGGGAGCTGAGCGATGACTCGGTCCCGTCGAACAGGAGGAAGGACGCTCATGGCTGAAATGCGGACGGACATGAGGCCTCAAGGAAAACAGCAGCTGGACAGAAAGACAGAGGGAGCGGTGTAAACAGTCTGCTGTTTATCTTTAAAGCCACCCAAGTTAAACGAAAAATCTACCGAGACAGAAACGGGTTTAGTTGACCGAGTATACAAGGCAAATTCTAACCAGCATTAAAGTCAATATTTGGCATAAGCGCCTTTATTTTTCAACAATCTGAACTCTCTTAGGGAAGTTTTCTTGTCAATGCTTTAAGTAGTCTTTAGGGATAGTTCTCTAGGCTTCTTGAAGCATTCAAGGCTTTTCTTTGGGTGCTGGCTGCCTTTCACTCTGTTCTTTTGTCAACATGAACCCACACTGCTTCAGTAATGTTGAGATCCAGGCTCTCGAGAGGTGAAGCCATGATCTATAGTGTTCCATTGTGCGTTTCAAGATGTTACTACATTGTGGATGAATCTCTGTTGCTGTGTTAGTATTTCCATCAGCTTTAATATGATCGCCAACACCACTGGCTTGTCACCGATTTTCAGTTCAGTTCTTTTTGACAGCCACCTTTCCACTGAGACTATTTCTTTAGTGAACCACAGATCTCTCTCAGGTATTGATATTTTTATTTTTTTAAGGAGGTGACTTTCAGATTCGGTTCATCTGCCGTAAATATCTTACTTCTACTTCTGTTGTGCTCTACGTAGATTTTCTTAAGCACACACGGCACACCATCCTGAGATATGCAACTTTTCAGCTAATAGTTCTTTAAGAATCACCTGGTTGGTGCAAGGCTGCTATTTTTTGTCTGTCAAGCTGTGTTATTTTTGATAACTTTCATAGATTCAGCTAACAAAGTGGCAACAAATAATCCTAATAACAAAGGGCTAAAAAGGTTTCTGTTATGTGTACACTCGTTCGTCCCTCGATTTAGGTGCCTTTTTGTGCTTGAATGATTCATAGGTCAGCGTAGAGTGACTTAAACACAAATATATTCCCGTGAAATTAAAGGACTGGACTGAAAATGGGTGAAAAAGCTTAAGAAAGACCACTTAAAAAGAACAAAAGTCACCTTGGAAGAAAAATATAAAGAAAATCAAAGGTGGCTCGAGTCTTTAGCACAAACTGTAGTTAACTAAAACTATTATGCTGATTATTATTAGAAATCCCCAATTTATTGTCTGTTGACCACGTCTGCACCGAAGTTCGGATAAGAAGGTAATAAAAACAAGTGCTTAATTAGCCGTAGCTTTCTGAATGTGGGATACATCAGCTCACGCAGTTTTTCCTCTAACTTCTTTCAGGTTTGTTTGTTTTCGTTTCCCAGGCTACCAGGACATAGACAGTACCACAATTAGCCAGCCTCTTTAAAATGTTATTTTCCTAGAAATAGACGCGACCATGTAGACAACAGCAACAGTTTGTAAAACCAGACAACTGTGATCGGCCCTGATCCCCTCAGTGCGTGGATCACATTTAATCCTATTGTTCATCAGAGCTTCATGAAAAGAGGAAGAACGCTGTTTTTATATAGTCTAACATATAGCGGAAACCTGAAGACTGGGCATCAAGTTGAAGGAGGAGCGCTGAAGTTACCCCCGAAGAAGAAAAACCGCAGGAGTTACTCAGAGTTAACTCCTGAAAAGCAGCAGCGGGTTTGGAGATGTTACGGGATACCTCAGAGTCTCCGTATGGTCCGCTCGGTCCTCTTTCCTCCTCTGTTCTGCTTGTATTCGTCCTCTAACAAAGACGCTCTTCACTGTAAATCAATTCAGCTCCATTGTTAACTATGAATGTGTGTGAAGATGAAACGGATGAGCGGAAGTTGTGGGGATCGGCAGACTGGCACCGCTGCAGCTGCTGACTCAGGTCCCTGGATTTAGTTTTTCCTCCCACATTTTTCCCTGCTCGCCCCCCTGCTGGAGGAAAGAGGAATGATCGGATATAAGGGGATCTGTCACTTACATTGTTAACTTTGCTTGTTTGTTTTTCTTTGTTACACTTATGTGATTTTTTTTTTACTATAATAGAAACCATGTTTAAAGGTCACAATGCGGGAAATCCTTCTGCATGCACAACAACAGCCCAAAAACAAAAACTACTGTACATATCTTCTATTTCCATTTTATAATACCACCCACTTTCACCTAATTCCACGTAACTCGAGTATTGCTTACTTTTAATGTCTTAGTTTTTTCCCCACAGAGGAAAAAAAACTATAACTTCCTGTCCTTCAATACTGACTCTTCTGCTACAGAGGGCGCCATAACACTCTTTTGAATATCTGTCTAGTTGTAAGCGCAATAAATAGTAGTTAAATTTCTAACAGACATAAATCACTTGCTTGCGTTATTATATTATGTCACATATAGCAGTGCAGGCCTACATACATACACAAACTTGCACATACTAGATTTGTCTTTACGATGCAGCGACGTGTCTTATTAAAATATGAGGCAGGGATGAAAAAGTTATTGCTGATGTTTTTATGTATTTTTGTGTGTCTAATATCCTTGTTGATATTGGCAAATAGGCAGCATTTGTATGGAAAGGTTATACAGAAAATAAACAAACGCCTAATATCATAAGTAGTATCCTTATGATTCTCCATCATTGTACTCACTGTTTTCTATATTCAATCCAGTCTTTTTTGATCTCTAGAAATATACTTACATAACTTTTATGTCATTTTTTTCTACTTTCCTCTTGGTTATATCTTTCTTGAATTTTTTTAAAATCTCAATCATAATTTTTACCGGGATAAATTAAGGATAATGTAATAGTCCCTTAGCCAAAAATTAATTGCATTAATTGCAATTCCAGCTTGTGATAAAAAATTATCTTCCTGGCACAAAATCGTTTCATATCATTCATAAGATTTATGTTTGACAGATTCTAAGCTAACAATCGTTTTACAACAGTTTACATACCAGAAATCATTTTTTTAAAATGTCAGCAAACTTTCAGTTAGTAAACAGATGACTTTTACAGGCAGGTTAGTTACTGTCAAATGGGTTCATTTTAATGAGTCATGCATTATTTCCAGCAACAGCAATGATATGTTTGCTCAGTAATAATAATAAAAAAGACATCCCATTGCTCGCTTACACTATCAACACATCCCTTTATTCTTCACATCCCTATGATGTTCATAGTACACATGTAAATAAAGCTCCGGTTGCAGTGCTCAACATGTTTTTATTTTGTTTTACTTTTTGGTTTCATGTAATGTTTTCAAACAGTTCAACACATATCAGTAAACACAAAAATTGATTCTGTGCAGGTTGGCACACAAACTATGTGCTGTGTGCTAAAAGCATTAATGTGGTCCCCTCTCAGAATGGAGAAACATGACAAGATAATATTTTTCTGAGGTAAGCGTTGTTCAGCAAGTGAAATTTGATAAACTGGAATGTAATATCTTGATTCATTCATTCAAATCAGAGACTGGATCTATATCTTGATCTATCTATATCTATATCTTTGTATAAGGTATTCAAAACTTTTTTTTGTTATTTAAAGGTTAGATGTGGAGAAACCTGTGGACTGGCTGTGGTGTTTAGGTCAACGCTAGGTCGCATAAAGGGAAGCAGACATTGATTTATTTTTAAAACGATGACACTGATTAGATTCATTCACCGAATTGTACCTTTTATAGCTTTATTATTTCTGGAAGTTAGAAATCAGCCTATAGCTCATGTAACATCTGCTTCTATCCTGTCATACTCCGTTTCCCTCATCCATAATGAGCAACAGCACGGGTCAGCTGAACACATCCTACACAAAGAAAAATCTTCTGGAGGTCACAAAACAATTATTTGACATATTTCTATGTGATTCTGTTCCTCACTCTGCCGGCCACACCCCTTGACAGGTCACCTAGACAACCACGTACACACATACTACAACACTAGAAACCACCAAGTATCCCACAACATGTAAGCTTCACCTGGAAAAGCCCAGACTGGCACTGTAATACCGAACAATGTGTTTGTTAAATGTGTATCATATTTGAGCCTCACCCCCTTCCTCATTCAGAGTGCACCCTCGATTCCTTTCCTCCGGTGTTAGTCCCGCCCACCGGGAGATGCAAGCGGTGGAACCGAGGAAGAGACACATCAGCCAATAGTCAAATGTGCTTTAGATGCTTTCTAAAAATGGGAGACGTGAACCGGAAGTATCTGTGTGTCAGCTGGTGGAATTCTCTAAATTTTAAGGAAAGGCGCTTCAATGCTTCCTTTATTATCTTCTTTGACATCGGATGCACTGGACGATCGTTTTTTGTTGTTGTTGTTGTTTTAGGAAATGAGATTACCCGATCACGTCCCATAATCACAGCAACATGCCACCCGACAGCGTGATTAACACTGCGTTTTCAATCGCTTCAAGCTTTGTTAAACCCACAGGTGAATGCAGATGTGAGATTTGCTTCTCATCATGTTGTCGCAGGAAGAATCCATATATTAAAAATCTTAATGAATAAATGAACGGAGATTATGACCCATAACAAAATGATACAAGTAAATTCATGCAGTTTGTGTTAATTATGTTCACTGCTACAGTGCACCCTTTAGGATCATTTATTTATAGAGGAGTTATAGCAGGTCCAGGTGAAGGAGCACATATGAGTTAACTGATCTTAGGTGTGAATGTCAGTATATATCCAGTCTTTGTGTGTTAGCCCTGCAAAAGTCTAGCAATCTGGGTGGACCCTGCCTCTTGCCCTATGACTGCTGGAGTTAGGTTCCAGGTTCCCGTGACCCTGAATTTGACCGCAGTCAAGGAGAGGAGACCAAGCAACAGGCATTTATAAAGCATGTCAATCAAATATGACACGTGACACAACTACTGCTTGTTTTATCATCTCAGACCTGTGTTATTTTTAAATAAATTCACTGCATAACACAGTGGGACAATCACACAGATAAAAATTGGGAAAGGAGGAAAGCTTCACAAAGATAAATGAAAACATGAAATAAAAAGGGGCAAGGGCAGTTTGTGTATCAAAGCTGTGTGCAAAGCCTCAATAAGGGCATAAAAACAGAATCTAGTTTTCTCACAAAAATCCCTTTTGATGAAGGTAAAAACACTTCTGCAAAGAATATACCTGTGCATCCTTTGTTATTTATAGGTCGTCTGGCAAGCGTCTCACCCAGACATGATTTAGGAAGTGAGACATCCGTCAACAAAGATTATTTTCCAGGTCACAGCCGGGACGGAGGAGACGAGGAGGCACAAATCAGAGAAAGCCTTTAAACTCACACTGACTGTTCATCAATAAAAGACAAAATGACACGTCATCACCTCTGTGATTTTAAATACAATCTTTATTTTCATGGTATCACTCAACAATCCAAAATACACAGTTCCTAAAAAAAAGACAGTTGTTGCTTAAATACAAGATATATTTTACATTATTGTGTTCAGGGTCGCATGGATTTTCTGTATGCTTGTCTCTATATTACGCACCACTCTGCGGCATATCTATACTTCCTTATTCACAAAGGCACGGAGGCAAAGGCACTGTAGCACAGCTCAGACACTCTGTCCAGGTCTGTTTGGACTTTCTTGGCATCAGTTGAAATAGAAAATGAAATGTACTTATTGTTAGGTTTTCAAATGTCACTGCACTTATGATTCATGGCATGGTTTTAGTCCACTAATGGTCAACAACTATGGACACTTCTTTTATAATATATCAAAAGGGAATGCACACCGAAGGACATTATGTACAAAGTGCTATACATATATATATACAGTTTAGGAACAAAGAGGAAGAGAGAACACATCTTCTGTTTCAAGGTCTTTAAAAGAAGATCTTTTCTGTAAAAGTATTATTTTGAAAACAAGCAACAAGATACATCTGACTGGGATTGTGCTGCTGCCTGCTCTCCATGGAGGCTTTCCCAGTTTCCAAAGAGCTACTGTTAGATGGCAGGAAGATCCAGCTCCACTTGAGTCAAATACAAACAGATTTAATATGACAACCACAAGAGTACCATAAATTATCCCACATTATTGTGTATTACACTTCAGTTTGACAACACTGTGTATTATGCACCCGTCTTTTGACAGTCCAGCATCTCTTCAGCCACAAATGGCTTCATAAAGACAAAGGGAGAGGTCCACTCTATTTACACATATAATTAAAATGAATGCTAAAATTCAAAGTCCAAGATCAGAAATTTCCTAATAGCAAGAGGAAAGCTGATCATGATTTTCCCGACGTAAAAAAAACCTGCTACCCATGCAAATGTTAAACATGTAGCAACACAGAGCAAGGTTGTTAGCAACTGTAAAATACAATTTCCAGTTTTTTTATTTTTCTGATAAACTACGCATTTGTCAATGGACATTCTTATGAAAAAAATCAACAACACTCTTCTGGTGTTTTACTTTCTGCAAGGGTGGGCACACAAGAATCTGTTTTTAATTTAGTGACATTTAGTGTATTTAGTCATCAGAGGGTTTACATGATGTGGCATAGACATCCATCTGCCCTCCAAGTGGCTATGACCACATGGACTTCACTGCAAAGGCAAGGGCATCTCCTTGCTATGCATCCCCCAAGCAGGTGTGATAAAACTGCTCGTCCATGGTCCCTACAGCTGTGCATGTCCAAAACAAATACCATCATTTACTGTCTTAGTAATATCAGGTCTTACTAAGACAGAAAATGTTTGTTAAAATATGAATTAATGTATGAATTCTATAACAGCAAAGACAGTGATTTAAGTATATCTAACAGGAATAAATAATATTTTTAAAAACCTCATTTTGGAGCAGTCTGTAAACCTTTTAAATATTTTACCCAGTTTGACTGTTGAATTCATACATAATGTTTGAAATTAAAGTTAATTTAAATAATGCATAAAAAATATGTCCTTAAACAAGTCCCTGGAAACATTTCAAAGCTGCAAAGCTGTGAGATAACAAGAAGGACATTGTAATGACCTAAAAGTCAAACTTTTGCTTGAAATATTAAAGATCTGCATCATGCAAGTGATTGCTCTGAGTTTCATGAAAAGGTTGCAATTACTCTTATATCTGTAAGCTAATAATTATAAATCTAGTTAATACTGACTGGCTAAACTAACTATAACCTACTGACAAGTAGATTTGTTTGTTTAACCCAGGGGTCTCAAACTTGCGGCCCAGGGTACCACTTGCGTCCCACGTCACCCCTACTTGCGGCCCGTGTATTGACATGAAGAAATACAATGCAACTTGGCCCTTGAAGTTTGATTTGTTTGTTTTTTTTGTACAACTTGAATACTAAAGTGGCCCTCCGATGAGATGACAGTGCCAGCAGGGGCCCACACCTCATTTAAGTTTGAGACCCCTGGTTTAACCTGTATGAAATTCCAAGTGTGAAAACATTATTTCTAATCTTAATGCAAATCAAAGCTAACTGCTGTT